ATGGTATCGGTCCCGATAGGTGTGTATGGGGGCGGGGCAAGATATCGGTCTCAATAGGTGTGTGTGGGGGCGGGGCAAGGTATCGGTCCCAATAGGTGTGTGTGGGGGCGGGGCAAGGTATCGGCACCAATAGGAATGTGGTGGTGGGGCAAAGTATCGGTCCCAATAGGTGTGTATGGGGGTAAGACAAGATATCGGTCCCAATAGGTGTGTATGCGGGTGAGGCAAGGTATCGGTCCCAATAGGTGTGTATGAGGGTGAGGCATGGTGTCGGTCCCAATAGGTGTGTATGAGGGTGAGGCAAGGTATCGGTCCCAATAGGTGTGTATGGGGGTAAGACAAGATATCGGTCCCAATAGGTGTGTATGCGGGTGAGGCAAGGTATCGGTCCCAATAGGTGTGTATGAGGGTGAGGCAAGGTATCGGTCCCAATAGGTGTGTGTGGGGGTGAGGCAAATCGTCCCCACGAAAGAAGTGGGAGGAGAGTGTCGATGGTCCCAAGAAAAGAGGGTGTTAAACAAGAAAGGTAAGGGTTTGGTTTTATTTTGTTTAATGTCTTTTTAACAGCTTAGGTCATTTAAGGACGTGCATCCATGTGTGTTGTGTAAGTGTGAATGTGTGTATGTGTGCCGGACACATGGTATGTTGATGCACTTGCCTCCTTATGATAGCCCGGATCTGATGCCGACTTTATAGTGCTATATCACTGAAATGCCATGAAGGCACAGAGCACAGCATTCTGCCCGATCACATTATACTGACAACGGGTTAACCAGTTATTGCAATTCCCCTTAACGCTGAACGTTATAAGGACTTTGGTATGTCCCGGCCTTGGGACAGAACCCATTGCCTTCCTCACCTGGGCGAACGCTCAAAGTTAGAACCAAAAGTGATGTATTAGGTTATCGTCAAACAATTCTTTCATACATTACTATCAACCTACTATGAGAATGCAGAGCATTGTATAAGACATCTTGCTGTAATGCTTCTCCACGTGTATTTCGTGCAAATGTCTTCCTTCCTTTTTTTCTCAATCATGTCACCGGTGTGTCATTTAGTCATCCACCGCTATATTTCGTGGCAGTGCTCATGAAGGCGATGCGACAGTCTTCTGAAGCATTCCACTTCAGCAACCGAAAATCCACCTATCGCAAAGCGAAGTTATCCTCATCTGCAATCTCTTCATGATATGAGTTAGAAAATCTGTTGCTAATGCATTTCTGTTTACTGATAGTTATACTTTTATGATCGATGCTAGTTGTATAACTCCCCTTATAATGTTGACCTTTGAGATAGGTCATGTAATACTGGTGACCTTTGAGATAGGTCATGTTACCTTTGAGACAGGTCATGTTATACTGATGACCTTTGAGATAGGTCATGTTATACTGGTGACCTTTGAGATAGCTTATTGTTATATGGGTGACCTTTGAGATAGGTCATGTTATACTGATGACCTTTGAGATAGGTCATGTTATACTGATGACCTTTGAGACAGGTCTTGTTATACTGGTGACCTTTGAGATAGGTCATGTTATACTGGTGACTTTTGAGACAGGTCATGTTATACTGATGACCTGTCTCAAAGGTCATCAGTATAACATGATCTATCTCAAAGGTCACCAGTATAACATGACCTGTCGCAAATGTCATCAGTATAACATGACCTGTCTCAAAGGTCACCAGTATAACATGACCTGTCGCAAATGTCATCAGTATAACATGACCTGTCTCAAAGGTCACCAGTATAACATGCCCTGTCTCAAATGTCATCAGTATAAAATGCCCTGTCTCAAAGGTCATCAGTAATAACATAACCTATCTCGAAGGCCATCAGTATAACATGACCTATCTCAAAGGTCACCCGTATAACATGACCTATCTCAAAGGTCATGTTATACTGGTGACCTTTGAGATAGCTTATTGTTATATGGGTGACCTTTGAGATAGGTCATGTCATACTGATGACCTTTGAGATAGGTCATGTTATCCTGATGACCTTCGAGATAGGTTATGTTATACTGATGACCTTTGATACAGGTCATGTTATACTGATGACCTTTGAGACAGGTCATGTAATACTGGTGACCTTTGAGATAGGTCATGTTATACGTGTGACCTTTGAGATAGGTCATGTTATACGTGTGACCTTTGAGATAGGTCATGTTATACGTGTGACCTTTGAGATAGGTCATGTTATACTGATGACCATTGAGATAGGTCATGTTATACTGATGACCTTTGAGACAGGTCTTGTTATACTGGTGACCTTTGAGATAGGTCATGCTATACTGATGACCTTTGAGATAGGTCATGGTATACTGGTGACCTTTGAGATAGCTTATTGTTATATGGGTGACCTTTGAGATAGTTCATGTTATACTGATGACCTTTGAGATAGGTCATGTTATACTGGTGACTTTTGAGATAGGTCATGTTATACTGATGACCATTGAGATAGGTCATGTTATACTGATGACCATTGAGATAGGTCATGTTATACTGATGACCTTTGAGAGAGGTCATGTTATACTGGTGACCTTTGAGATAGCTTATTATTATATGGGTGACCTTTGAGATAGGTCATGTCATACTGATGACCTTTGAGATAGGTCATGTTATACTGGTGACTTTTGAGATAGGTCATGTTATACTGATGACCTTCGAGATAGGTTATGTTATTACTGATGACCTTTGAGACAGGTCATGTTATACTGATGACATTTGAGACAGGTCATGTTATACTGGTGACCTTTGAGACAGGTCATGTTATACTGATGACCTTTGAGACAGGTCATGTTATACTGGTGACCTTTGAGATAGGTCATGTTATACTGATGACCTTTGAGATAGGTCATGTTATACTGGTGACCTTTGAGATAGGTTATGTTATACTGATGACCTTTGAGACAGGTCATGTTATACTGGTGACCTTTGAGATAGGTCATGTTATACTGATGACCTTTGAGATAGGTAATGTTTTACTGGTGACCTTTGAGACAGGTCATGTTATACTGATGACCTTTGAGACAGGTCATGTTATACTGGTGACCTTTGAGATAGGTCATGTTATACTGGTGACCTTTGACATGATATGTCACTTTACACTAGTAACATTTGAGATGACATTTTGGTGACCTGACAAAGTAGGCCTTCCATTATTTTATCTTTTAGTAAGAAGTTATAGTATCTACCTTTGAGGGAAGTCTTATTACTACGTTAATACGAGATAGGTCGTGTTTTACTATTGACAGTAGAAATTTCTAATACGTTTCATTTTCATTCCTTTTGTTTATTGAAATTGAACGTAACTGTAGTCTTACTCTGCTGCATCCTATTTTTCAAGGTAACAAAATGTTATTGGTTTCATTTAATTTTGATATTTTCAGAATGTACCCTGATTATCTACCTTGAGAATTTATCTTGGCTTTACCTTGTTTACATCTTGCAGCATTTTATAATACAATTTATACGAGAGATTTTTTAAATTGAGATGCACACAATGTTAAACAAAATTTCAAAACAAGTAAAAAAATAAATCCATACAGATCATTGCAACTTTTATTAATAAATCTGCAAAATGACAGAACAATATGCCATCTCTGGTGTGCTGCTCATTTCAGCGCTGGTGTAATTTGTTTTCAAAAAGAAAGTATGACAGATGAATAACATGATAATAATATGATTGTTATCTGCTGGCCGGTTACCACAAACAGTTGGGATGTAACAGGTGCCCTCTAATATAAATCAGACAAGCATTCAATGTAATGATTCAAACTGCACAAATTTAACATTATATAAATATATGTAATCCCTTGTATCCTTCAAGTGTAACTTATTTTTGCACAAAAAAATAATTCTACAATGGTGTTGTTAGACCCCATATTTACAGCTTTAATTAAGGACACACACAAAAAAAAGAAAAAACAGCGACATCAATCCCGTTTTCGGTATCATAGGTAAGGTATGGAAAAGTGTTAGGCAATGTCTGGCGAAGGATATAGGGGGATGTTGCTGTAATTGGACATCAAATCTCCAACATGATCAAAGTAGCTGTGTTAAGTGCCTCCATCCAGAGGTATTTGGTACAATATATTTATCTGATATGAAGCTGCCATTTAAATCTACAATACAAAATAATCCAAAGCTTGTTTACCTGTTCTTTTCTTTGAATCTGTAATAGTCATTCGGTCTGAGATAATGTACCAAAAAGTGTGCACAAGAAACTGAGGTCGCTCAACAGCCAATGAAAACACTAGTCATTAAACAGATGACCAGGCCCACCAATGAGGTTGTCTTGGCATCAGAAAGATTGAAGAGAGATAATGAAATGGAAATGTTTTACCACAAAGGCACCTAAGTCAGAACGTATAGCTTTGCCATCTTGCACTGACTGTACTATTTTGATGTACTAGCACTGCTTTCATTAAACAATGTGAGAAAACTATGAACTAGTGTAACAGACATCTATATCAGAAACAGGTGTGTCACCTGATTAAACATCTAGTTCGCCAAGATTTGATGAAATAGAGAATTACATTCTTTCAAGTGATCTTGAATTTTACTATCAACATGACACTGCAAACATTATCTTGGATCACAATGTTATAATCAGAAAACATATTAAATCGAACATTTCATGTACAATTACACAAGAGGAAATTGTATTTTAAAGAGAAATACCAATTCAAAATCATGACTTGTATGTGTGAACAATCCCCTAGCACCAGTTATGTTATGTATGGAATGTCCCTAAATAATTAATGTCTCAAAGTTGACAGCTGAAACATATGAAGATAAAAACCTGGGTATAATTTTGAGGGGAGTTGTATCCTCTGGCACGATTTGATATTGAACTTAACAATGCCCCGTGACAGTATATGTTGACGGATGAAGTTTACCCAGTACATGAAGCTACCAAGGGCAGGTGTTTCAAAAACTGTCATTTCACTTCAAACTTAATTAAGCATTCCTTTTTTTAACATTCCGGAAAAATGTGACATTTGGTCGATGCAAATGTAAAACCTCAAAACAGATTACAATGCGACACTGAACCAATGATTGGGTTTGTGAATGGAATAAAGAGGATTTGTGGCATTTTTAACTCTTCATCAAAGGAATCACAATATCACAAAATGAATCAGGGTTACAAAATTAATCACATCATAATCCATCCACTTTATTTCCTTTCATATTAATCAATATTTCAGTAACCTACAGTTCGACTTCTCGCCTTAAATTAGTTCACATATATGGTTCATGTCTTGGCTGGCTCACTACTAGAACTCCTAACATTGATCTATTCCATAAATCATGGAACATACTTTTTGTGGAATTAAGAACACAGAACACATATATAAGTACATGCAATGCTACTACACTAGAATTCAGAGGAGATATGCTCAAGGGAAAATGATGATGAAACTGAGATCCTCGCAAATTTAAGACCTTACTTAGTAAACATTTGAGTAAGACTTGCGTCCTATGATTGTGAAAAAGTAATATGCTGGTAAACAGAACCATACCTTTAAGCATGTATTCTGCACAAAGAGGATGACAGCAGAACTTTATAAATCAGTAGATTGATACTTTTAATAACTTAAACCATTTAAATGCTGATAATTCACAATGTTATTCATTTGATTATTTAAGAAATAAAAGCTTGCAAAAATTATATCCAACTTAAATTTGTTGTACCTTTGAAGAAATAAAAAAAGGATTTTCGAAAGAAAAAGGAACCAAATTCACAACACTGAAGTAACCAGATACAAAGTGAAGGCTGTTACAGTACAAAAATAGATATGAAACGATCCAATAGCACTACTTGCAAAACTTAGCCAGTAGCAGTCCACAGAGAATCAACACAAAGCTTGTATTACCTATACAGAATCTTGCACGTTGATCAAATTTCATACGGAATCATTCAAATTAAGATTATTTCTTAACTCATTTACGAGAAAAATATCTTTATATGTGGTAACAAATCCATTACACATCTGCTAGGGTTTTCTGAGGAAAACATAACCCACATCGTCTACCAATGGAGGATTGATAGCAGGTACAAACCATCAACACACGTTAGTAAATCTAAACTGAGATACAAATTTAACTGAGACAGAAAAGAACTTTTATCCCACAGAGCCATGGCCGACTAGTCCAGGTTAAGTGGTTAGTTGAGGAAACAGTAAGTCACAGTATTGTGTTACAGAGTATGTATACTTAAGGTGCTGTGAAGCGATAAATGTAAGCATGTGGGTAGAGCACTGGACCAACACAAGCATTGTGGTAATAGTATTGTATCAATATCTCTAACAAATAACTTATATATGGCTAACGCATTCAAAGGTACATGTGGGTAGCTGGTATTTACAAATTTTCCACAACATCTTCACTATAAAACTCAAGCCATTCTCCAATACAAACTGTACAGGAAGGAATACCTTCACCAACATATTTACTTTAATACATATCACACTCAGAAATTCGCATAAATATAAGGAATTTTTTTCTTTTGTTTTTTTAAGCGCAAGATATGTAAATGAAGTTTTTGTTGATAATTGTGAAATTGCCTCAAATTTAACCACCATGCAAAATATTTCAAACTCATATTTTTCAACCCTACTTGCTTTTATGTTCATTACTTACACAAGCTTAAGTTCAAATTATACCAAAATTACATTCAAGGTGAGCTATATATGTTTTCAAAGGAACAATACACTCATAAATTTTAATGTCATAGCAAATAACAAGTCTTTAATTGTACAATGCATAATCCTTTTATTTCTCCATTATTATACCAAAAAATGTAAATTGCTAGCAAATGTGAAAAATCTGTCATATAGTGATTTTTGTCCAAACATTACTTGCTATTAAAATTACTCTGTCATGAATCCTGTAAAAACATAACAGGGAAAACAGAAATATTTCGTCAAAATCCACCATTTTTAAGTACAACGTATTACCACAGCTCCAAAGTGCTCTAGTCTCCTGAGAGTGGCATCTAGCCAGTAGTGTATGGATAAGTTTATCAACTTCAATGAATTTTCTTCAATTGTTAGTAATACTGAGCAAAACCAGGTTGTCAAAAAAAAATGAAAAATACAAAAGAAATTAAATTATATGAATAACATCATGTGCATGTGGTCTTTTATATAAACTATTTCAACATTTTTTACAACACTTTGCAGACCCTGTTCTAGTATTAAATGGACATTGCTAAAAACCAGTTTGACATTGGCACAATACTATTTTTTTTAATTATCAAACATTTCGCTGTTCTTGGTTCACGTACCGATAACAAGATAATTAATAAAATAAAAAATTTCCACAAAAAACCTTGATTTCAAATATATGAAAAATAAATGTGCTTCCTAATTTGAATTCCAGGGCTACATAACATTTGAACAAATTGTAACGTATATAAAAACACTACTTGTCAATTTCGACTCTCCCACAATGGTCAATGTGACTACTCAATGATTGAAGCTGATTCCATGTGACCTACACTGACTGGAGTGGTCACCACTTCTAGAAACCTAAAGTGATAAATGATTTATCAAACCGTATATTTACAGTTAGGTTGATCAAGTAGGCATGTTAATGTATACGTACCATCCAATTTAGTTTGCAGTAGGGAGGCGATTGGGATAGGTCCATCAGAAAGGCTTTTTATATGGAATTAAAATTAATCTAAAAATTTGCATAGGTTATAAATTTTTATAAACACACTATAAAACTTGTTGTTTGATGAGACTGGGAGGAGTGATGAAAAAAAAATTGTATACCAAGTAAACATATTCCCTTTAACTGTTTAATATGAACTGGAATCATGCCAATAACAGCTTTGTTTTCATTCCCATTCCAATGGAAAGTGAACCACAGGTTACATTGTCACCGTACTTGAATATGTTAACACGTAGAAAAGAGGGATCTGTTCACCACAGCTACAGCTAAACAGGCCTCATGCTTTCCAATACACAGTACATTCCATTACACTAGCATTTATCATAGGTATTTTTAAAATATAACAATCTTTTCTTTCGTCTCGCTATGCATTGTCACAGTTGTGTCCAAGTGCATGATACAAGCTTCACTCATTTCTAGAAATATCTACAAAATGATTTCTTATAAAAATACTTGGTATAAAATGAGAAGCCTTCTCTATGTTTTCTGCACCAATAATACACATTTATAGAAATCCGTGAGAGAATGATGGACTAGTCGAGACAGTCTCGTTCAACAATTATCTCCCCTTTAAACAGTTTCACATAAACTCTCTTAAACAAACTCTGACAAAAAAAAATGAACAAAATATGTATACAAGTCTATGCAGCCAGTGCAAGTTTGTATGCAGTAGGTGCCTATAGTCTGTAGTTGCACAAATCCTGTGTTTATCACCAAATAATGCACAAACATTCACCGAATGATGCTAGCTCATGATCACATGAAGAATATCCTTGCTGGGTCGGTGAAGCTGAAGACAATGGTTATGACATGGTATGCCATTATTTCTGCGTATGTGAAGGAAGCTTATGTTAGTGACTCGATTCCTCCTCCGAGTCTGAGGATGACAGGGTGTCATTCAGTTGATCCTGTTCATTGGGGCGATAGTACATGATGTGTTTAGGACTCAAAGCCTTGTTATGCAAGACCCGGCTAGCTTCCTTTTGTTGAGGAACCTGTAAGAAAAGAATACTTTTTATGCATATACATCTCACTATTGTAACAAATGAGACAATTATACAAAATACATGTTACTACAATGGTTTTGACAAGTAAATTAATATCGATCATCTTTCTCAATTCTTAATTTGCTTTGAGCAAAAGATTTAATGTGAAGCAATATTTCAAGATACAAATACATATCAAACCAAAGAATTTGTTTTGTGAACTAAAACATGTATTTCCCCTAATCAGCTATTACCATTCCCCTAATCAGCTATTACCATTATGAATATCTATTTCACACTTGTATTATTTGACCTTTGCCTAGAAGTAAAGGTTCGTTATAGTGGCCAAAATATAATGCAGTGCACACCTTTTCATATTGTATAGACCAGAATGTATTAGAAGAAACAAACAAACAGTATGTCTCCCTTCATTTGAAGCAGACACAATGAACTTTCATACGACATAAAAAGGCTTTCTCTACAGCAGGAATACTCAAGCAGTTGTCTTTTTTCCTCGACTCTTGTTATGTCATCCAAATACAAGAATTTTCCCCCAAAATTTGTGCTATATTTCCTACCTACAATGGATTTTACAAATCTACCAAAAAATTCCAGTTAAGGATCTACAACAGATGACTCTTATTTATGTCATCCAATATACAAAATTTGTGCTATATTTCCTGCCTACTATGGTTTTCACAAATCTACCAAAAAATTCCAGCTAAGGATCTACAACAGAAGACCCCTCAGTCAACCAATACTAGTTCATTCATCAGGTCTGATAAAAGCAACTGTAGATAAATGATGATGATAACAATAATCCTATCATAAATTGTAATATTTTTTTTTTCAATATGGTTATGTCTTCTAAATCACTTACTAGGTTTTCAGTTATAAGCCATACCTGTTTAGAGAAGCGCTCTTGAAATCTTTTCTTCTCGTCCTCAGTTATTTCATATTCTTCCACATCAGCTTCATTCCATCCCATTGATTTCAACAGTCTGATTTAAATACAACAATTAAAAGTTAAATATTCAATACTAGACTTTAGTTAAATAACAGTGTCATTTAGTATAAATAGTCTGTAAATTTTCGACAAGAATTGAATTACAATATTTTTTGAGTAATGAGTGTGTTTTCTGCAGTGTTCAGGCTAAATTTGAGATTAAATGTAAAAGATGGTGTCTTCAAAACCTTTTTTTAGCAATTTAACAATAGTTAGTATCAACAGATTTAACATTATTTTATTCAATAGGCTAACAATATTAAAACACACATACAACTTCAAACAGATGGGAAAATAAGATTTCAGATTATATAAATTCATCTCCAATGAGTTGTATTAACATAATAAACCTTCTACAATTAGTAGTGGATCTCTTTCTACTAGAACATTTTGCTTGTGATTCCAGTTTCTTTAGGGAAAGAAATCGGCATATCATGACATCAAAATTGTGCTTCATTTGATGCACAATGCCTCAAGGACTGAGAGGCTATTTTTAACCAATGGAAAAATTTCAATCATTTATACCAATTGTGGCATATAGCAAACATGCTGTCTATTACATGGATTGAAATATTGAATTTTTAAGACTTGCAGCATTAAATATAGGAAGCAAATATTTGTAACTCCTTTTGACTTCTAAATCACAGACAACAAACATCTAATTATGCATATTTCATTTCACTTTCTCATGCAAGAGCACAGAATTTTGTATACCTCTGTTCTGCCTCTAACGAGCTGGAAAGTAGCCCATTTTCAGCATCACTGAAATCTAAAGTTTCTACACCATTGCTTATTTTCTCCACATTTCCATCTTCAAATGCCTACAATAAAAGAGACAAATTGAATCAAACACAAATCAATCATGAAAGTTTAATATTTTTTTCAGATCATATAACACGTTATTGATCATGACTATAGCCATTATGCTTTAGCTAATTTACCTGAACAGGAGATGGGATAGACTTTGAAAAGAAATGTACAGGATGATGGTTCAGCCAAATTGTTTCTATTTTTATATGATCGATAACGTCACATCAGTATATACCTGAATAATGACCAAGGAATTCTAATTTTATCTCTGCAAACATGCATTCCAATCTTTAACTTCTCAAAGAAAAAGTTTCTACACTTTAAACTGAAAATGTATTGAAAATCTCTTTCCAACATCATGTAGACAATTAAGTCAGGATATGATGGAATACATTTTGCCAGGTTTGTAGCATAGAGCATACAGGCTTTGATGATACCCAAGTTTAATACAAAAAACAGCTTTGTCAAAATAATTATGGAACAATTAGGTGCCAGTTCGTTCATGGGAACAACCCTGTACGCATATTTTTAAATTTATAACTTCAGGGGAAAGCCAGATCGACTTGCAATTGTTAATGCAGGCCTTGCAAGTCCTTGCAAAGGCTCGCCAGAAAGCACAACGAAGCAAGTGATACTAACTTATTTTGTATTCAACTAACCACAGTCTCATTGCTTTAAAATATTTCATTTTATAATCTGCTATTTATATCTGGGTAGGAAACAGTCCCAGTTGGGTAGCTGTCATAGATTCAATTAACTTATTAAATGTTCTTGCCAGTGTTATGATATTTAAATGGCTAAATTCTTTTGACCTGTGATTACTTTCACCATATTTTTTGATGTGCAACTGCAACTAGACTTGTGGAGATCCAATTGGCATAAACAAACCAATTGGAACTTCAGTAAATAACACATTTACTCTGAATGGTAGACCTGTTCTAATCCTCTACCTTCTGATCATGTCCTTCACCAACAGACGACCTTTTCCTGAGGGCCTTCCAGAAATCGCTCTTTTTGTCACCCAGAGTACGGGGCTGCGTAATGAGCCTTGTGTTAAGAATATCTATAGGGGGCGTAGGGGACTGCCTGGAACCCTGTTCAACACATGCAATGTAACATAAACCAACATTCATTTACTTGTAATACAGAATTTACCTTCATGTGAAATAAGAATGACAAGCACTTATTTCCTTGGACATACTATAATTAACTTGATGATGATTTGTCATCATTTTTTCAAGTAAAGCTTGCAAATGATAACAAGAGGCCCATGGGCCTTAACGGTCACCTGAGTCTACAGTATTTTTTGTTTTTGTTGAAATATGTACCAATTTGAGTAAAAAATAGTATAATGTTAACTTAACTTTGTCAGGACCATGAGCTGATCATTCCTAGACCAATTTTAAGTGAGATCGGCCTATTAGAATTTAGTAGCAAAATAGCGGCCATGGCAGCCAAATTGTATTTCTGATTGACCCGAAAAATAACAACACTTTGTCAGGACCATGAGCTGATCATTCCTACAAAGTTTCAGTTCAATCGGCCTAGCAGAACTTGACTTTAAGTTTGAAATAGTTTTTCAAAATGGCGGCCGTGGCGGCCATATTGGATTTCTGATCGACCCGAAAAATAACAACACTTTGTCAGGACCATGAGTCGATCATTCCTACCAACTTTCAGTTCAATCGGCCCAGCAGAACTTGACTTTAAGTTTGAAATAGGTTTTCAAAATGGCGGCCGTGGCGGCCATATTGGATTTCTGATCGACCCGAAAAATAACAACACTTTGTCAGGACCATGAGGCGATCATTCCTACCAACTTTCAGTTCAATCGGCCCAGCAGAACTTGACTTTAAGTTTGAAATAGGTTTTCAAAATGGCGGCCGTGGCGGCCATATTGGATTTCTGATCGACCCGAAAAATAACAACACTTTGTCAGGACCATGAGGCGATCATTCCTACCAACTTTCAGTTCAATCGGCCCAGCAGAACTTGACTTTAAGTTTGAAATGTAAAATGTTAACGGACGACGGACGACGGACGACGACGGACGAAAACGGATAGCAATAGGTCACTTGAGCTAAAGCTCAGGTGACCTAAAAATCCTGCATAAGAGCTTTGTAGTGCATCTTCTTAAATATATCTATACTTGCATATCACTCTTTAACCAATTTCTCCCCGATAATGAACTTTGTTATACATATGAATTTAAAATAACCTGTACATTTTTTCTATCTTAGTTGCCTGTTGTAGATGTGGTTTTATAACAAGAGGCCCAATGGGCCTGCATCACTCACCTGGTATAAAACTCACACTTGTAACCTTAAAAGTGATCTAAAATAAAGCTACAGGAAAAATATCAGTATTTATGATTAAAATTCATTCAAAAGACCCTGTTATTTTTTTTTTTGAACATTTCACCCCTGTGATTAAAAGTCGAACAAAGTCATTATGTTGAACACCTTGTATAGCCTTTCATCTCAGGATGCAACTTGCAAAGTATAAACATCCTGGGACCCATGGTTATTCAGAAGAGGTTGTTTAAAGATTTAAAAAAACAATTGACCCCTGTGACCTTGAATATAAGTAAAGGTAATTCATTTCAACAAACTTTGTAGCCCTTCAGCGCAGCATGCTACTGGCCGAATATCAACTCCCTGAGCATTTTGGGTACTCAGAAGAAGTTGTTGAATGTTTTTCACATATTTGACCCCTGTGACCTTGAATATAGATGAAGGTCATTTATTTGAACAAACTTTGTAGCCCTTCATCTCAGCGAGCTACTGGCCAAATTTCATCACCCTGAGCATTTTTGGTAATCAGAAGAAGTTGGTTAAAGGTTTTTTTATACAATTGACCCCTTTGACCTTGAATATAAGTCAAACTCATTCAATTTAACAAACAAAGTAGTCCTCTAGCCCAGCATATGCTACTGACTAAATATCAACATCCTGAACCTTTTGGTTATTCAGCACAACTTGTTGAATTATTTTGAACATATTTGTTCCTGGTGCCCTTGAATATGATTCAAGGTCATACATTTATACAAACTTGGTAGCCCTTGATCCTAGTATGCTACTGACCAAATATCATCACCCTGTGCATTTTTGTAATTCAGAAGAAGTTGTTGAATGTTTTTCACATATTTGACCCCTTTGACCTTGAATATAAGTAAAGGTAATTCATTTCAACAAACTTTGTAGCCCTTCATCTCAGCTAGCTACTGGCCAAATTTCATCACCCTGAGCATTTTGGGTATTCAGAAGAAGTTGTTTAAAGGTTTTTTTATACAATTGACCCCTGTGACCTTGAATATAATTGAAGGTCATTCATTTGAACAAACTTGGTAGCCCTTCACCCAAGCATGCTACTGGCCGAATATCAACTCCCTGAGCATTTTGGTTATTGAGAAGAAGATGTTTAAAGTTTTTGACATATTTGACCCCTGTGACCTTGAAAATAGGTGAAGGTTATTAATTTTAACAAACTTTGTAGCCCTTCATCCAAGTTTGCTTCTGGCCAAATATCGACACCCTAGGCCTTTCGGTTATTAAGAAGAAGTCGTTTCAAGTAAAATATTGATGCCGGACGGACGGACGGACGGACGACGGACGCCGCACCACGGCATAAGCTCACTTGGCACTTTGTGCCAGGTGAGCTAAAAATCAGTCAATGTATTGAGTTTGAAGATTTTCTATTAATAGCTATGGTGATCTTGATATCCTGAAATTGACCTCATTTGAAACATTCTCATACTTTAATTTTATGTTAAATTTGATCATAATCCATATTAAAGGCTGAAAGTCCCAGCACTGTTTTATATTTCACAGGATGCAGTTTCGATCTGTTCAGCATTTTTTCTGACAAGAAATTGCTGGCATACATATCTATATATAGCTAGTAACTATAGGAAAGCTATATTCTTATCAAAGATATATTTATTATTATTTTCCACATGATCAGATTCTTCATCTTACACTTTCTGGAATGATGACAAAAGGTGAAAACATGTATGAAGGAATGGAATGCTGCACTCCTCAATTACCTCATCATAAGAGGATAATTTTTCATTTTAACATTGATACAATATAAAACACTCAAATTATACAAAATCTTATCTGTTAAAAAAAATTCAATTTCTTCGCCATTAATTTAAACATTTTTGAGAGGACATGCAACATTTTATAACAATTCAATTATCTCTGAATGAGTTTTGTTAACAGATATTATGAATACTTGCCTCCTTGTTTTGACCACCGGAACTTGTTGGTGACAGTGGCGACTTTGTGCCAGAGAAAGGATCCTTTGGGAACCCTCCATTAAATCTATTACTATCCTTTGCTGGTTTCTTTATAGTTGGCTGTAGACAGAATATACTGTTAACTCTTGCAAACACTTATCACCTACTTCTATTTTTTAGATCAAATTAAACTTCTTGAAGTAAGAGATGTCAAATTTTAAAATATAGAGCAAGCCTCAATACTTGAATATATACTTTCTTCTTAATTTCTCTTAAAATATTATCTTTTTTGAAATGTAGAGAAATCCATTAAACAGCTTGTTAACATAAATTGCAGATTTGGCAGTTGGGTCAAAATATTTCTAATATTGAAAGAGGCAATTGAATTTTATGATTTTAAAATAAAAAGGTTTAGCAAATGATTGTTTTTACCTTGGTTGGCACAAGTGTTTTGTACATATTTGCAGTAGCTCTGTCTCCAAACTTAGACGATCCCATTTTACCATGAGGGGGGTGTTCTGATAAACAAAGCAGAGTTATAGTTTAACAAAAGTGACTGATATTTTTCCGTGAATTTGTGGCCTTATACAGGCCCCTTCTAATTACCCAAGACATTTTCTGCAATTTCCCCCCCAAATCATTGCAAAAGTCACTTTCTACCACAATACGCTGTGTTATTCCACTCTCAGATCATTGTCTAAACATGCAGACTGTTGAATAAATATGAGTTATACACAACACGTGATAATGACCTTCCGTAGTTTTGATTGGTCGAGAAGATGAACCTTGACAGGACGACTTTTTCACACGCTTTTTGCAGCGTGCTGTTTTATTTACGTCGACTGCTGTCACCATCAGCAAATGTTGGTGACTTTTGTGAGGTTATGCAATGGGAAAAGGGGGTTATTAAGGCAATTACCAAAAGAAGATGATGCTTAAAGATTTGATCGCTAGTTTCAGGCAAAATTGCTACAGATGCTCAATATCGTTTCGACGCCATACCGTCATGTGTCCAGGTCGTGAACCCCAGGAACGTAATATATGTCTCTGTGAAACCCAAACAAGATCTGTAACAGTGTGGGAAAATATTTCGTTCTCCTCATGTCCCGTTATCATTATTTGGAGGGCCTGTCTATGGCGGAAATCTCACTATAAACGTCAACCATAGAACCTCACGAAGAAACGTCTCAGGCCTATGCTTTTGGACATTGACAGTGATTAGTTCGTCTTCATCACTTGGTGCGAGGCAGACTTCGTCGATATGCTTAAGCGCATATAGTCTGTGGTTAATTTATATTTCTTAATGCAATATTGCATACTCTCAATATTTAAAGTCGTTCACTTATTATATTTTTTCACTAAGTAGTTGCCGAAACATTCATTTTGAAAATTAATAAATTTGTAAAAAAACCAACATTTTTTAATATTAATGAGTGAAATCAGGAAATACTCCAGCTGTTTCTGACTGAGATTGTAGGAGAAACAGATCACAGAACTCGTGGTTGGTGAATATGGTATTTATTTCACTCTCGTTAGTTATTTTTCAAAAGTCACAGAAAGACACTCGCTAAAGCTCATGTCTTTTGTAACTTTTGAAAATTAACTAACGAGAGTGAAATAAATACCACATTCAACAACCACTCCTTGTGTTACCTCTATTTATTTTCCCAAAATCATGCTCTTTGTGTGTAAAATTTCCCCAAATTCACAAGAAACAGACCTCTGTCGAAAATATGTAGAAAAAAAATCTTAAATCAGACAAACTCAGGTCAGGATCTCTTTCATCCGACACCTATGCATTATTAGGACAGTGTTGTTTTATATACAACTTTTCACATTAATATCAATGTTTTATATACATTTGATGTAGCTGTAAAATCTTAAGAAATTGAAAGAAGTGTGATATTTGTGGAGACCTACTCACCCCAGACACTTCCACCATTTGTGACTTTGGTGGAGTTACCTGCCTTTTCAGTGCTCTCTTCTCCATTTAGTGATGGCTAAAAATTAGATGAAACAAATACTTCAAGCCAAGTAAAAGCATCTTACTGAAAACCTGATAATGGCATTCATTTAACAAGGAAGCATCATCATCAATTGGATATTGTGTCAAAAGGAACATATATGATACCATTAGTTTGGTGTTACAGCTATATTATAATATTACTTTTAGTAGAAGAGATGGTCTCGGTTTGGCTACACTGTGTTACTTGTTATATATTTTCAGAGACTGTATTTTCCCATCATTACGAAATACAAAACTATGCCACTTTTAATGACTACAATCAATAGTACTTCTATCAATATTCAATGTAACTCAATTTCAGGATTTCATTTTAGACATTTGTGACATTTAACATCTTGGTTGAAGACATTGCTAATACAATGGACAGTACATATTTCCACCAGACAAATGCCTAAGGCTAGAAAATGTCATGCAATGTTATATGAAAATTTTCAATATTTGTTATGAACATAAACTAGAATGTTTCAAAATCATACTGTAGGCTTGGTACTCAAATATGAAATTGTACACCCATGTTGTAGCATATCCTATTATAATGAATGTGGGTGAGCTTGATCACTTGGTCGGGTGTTTAAAGTTATAGGGTTACCATCCCTACTACATGGGTTTTCCAGGTATACTCTGGTTTCCTCCCACATTAAAACCACCTACATGCTGCTTTTCTGTCTAATGAGAGTGATGAATATAAGTTGATAATGCTTCATAATTGTTGTACAATAAAGTTTATATAAAGAATGTGATATTAAATTCAAAATTCATAATTATTTTGACCATCCAAACTTACAAAATCATCTTGAAATGATGTCTTTTCCTTCTCCTCAGTTTCCTTTCCTTTGCTTTTCTCTGTTTCCTTCCCTTCTTTTGAATTTGTGCGTCCTTCTCTCTCATAGTGACTTCGTTTAGAACTGGCTCTCGAGTTTTGATATCCTGGGTAGTAGGGGTCACCGTAGTAGTCAAACGGGTAGAGATCATAGTATCCAGGGTAGCCGCTATTCATCTGCAAATAAAAGAATTAAATTTGTATTACTTTAGAACTTATGAGTACCGGTTTATAGTTGATATTATGTACAATTTCACTAGCACAACACCATGCTCTAGTAGATTTTATGTATGGGTTAGAGAAATGGTGCAGCTACTTAGATATAGGTCAGGCTAGTAGAATTTTTTATATTTGAAATATATCAAATATGAAATTGTACATCCCTGACAAGGTATGCAAAAATGTGCATCCAGACAGATTTTTAAAATATTCTTATTTATAGACTACAAAACTTAAATGTCTTACATTTACTAAGCATATTTTAATGTTTTATGAAGATCATCAATTATGCAAACTTATATCAGTGTATTGTGAAGACCTTGTATGTTACTTGGGTTAATTTATAATTGGTAGGAATTCAAACAAGAGGCCCATGGGCCTTAACGGTCACCTGAGTCTATAGTATTTATTTTTGTTGTTGAAATATGTACCAATTTGAGTAAAAAATAGTATAATGTTAACTTAACTTTGTCAGGACCATGAGCTGATCATTCCTAGACCAATTTTAAGTGAGATCGGCCTATTAGAACTTAGTAGCAAAATAGCGGCCATGGCAGCCAAATTGTATTTCTGATTGACCCGAAAAATAACAACACTTTGTCAGGACCATGATTCGATCATTCCTACAAAGTTTCAGTTCAATCGGCCAAGTAGATCTTTACTTTAAGTTTGAAATAGTTTACCAAAATGGCAGCTGTGGTGGCCATATTGGATTTCTGATCGACCTGAAAAATAACAACACTTTGTCAGGACCATGAGTCAATCATTCCTACAAAGTTTCAGTTCAATCGGCCTAGCAGAACTTGACTTTAAGTTTGAAATATGTTTTCAAAATGGTGGCCGTGGCGGCCATATTGGATTTATGATTGACCTGAAAAATAACAACACTTTGTCAGGACCATGAGTCGATCATTCCTACAAACTTTAAGTTCAATCGGTCCAGCAGAACTTGACTTTAAGTTTGAAATAGGTTTTCAAAATGGCGGCCGTGGTGGCCATATTGGATTTCTGATCGACCCAAAAAATAACAACACTTTGTCAGGACCATGAGGCGATCATTCCTACCAACTTTCAGTTCAATCGGTCCAGCAGAACTTGACTTTAAGTTTGAAATAGGTTTTCAAAATGGCGGCCGTGGCGGCCATATTGGATTTCTGATCGACCCGAAAAATAACAACACTTTGTCAGGACCATGAGGCGATCATTCCTACCAACTTTCAGTTCAATCGGTCCAGCAGAACTTGACTTTAAGTTTGAAATAGGTTTTCAAAATGGCGGCCGTGGCGGCCATATTGGATTTCTGATCGACCCGAAAAATAACAACACTTTGTCAGGACCATGAGGCGATCATTCCTATCAACTTTCAGTTCAATCGGCCCAGCAGAACTTGACTTTAAGTTTGAAATGTAAAATGTTAACGGACGACGGACGACGGACGACGGACGACGGACGACGACGGACGAAAACGGATAGCAATAGGTCACTTGAGCTAAAGCTCAGGTGACCTAAAAACCCAAATCCCTGTATACATGGATTCGTTATCAAGAGGAAGCCTTTTGAATATCCCTGATTACAGAGTTTCATCAGTGAAAAGGTTCAGAAAAGATGACTATCACAGTTTGGTAGCAATTTCAACAGGAAAACTTACACTAGTGAAACATCTTGCCATGGAACATACCTGATTATAGCGAATTCCTGGGTGCTGCTGATATTTAGGGTCACGGCCAGGTGACCTAAACATTGATGACTGAGATCCATATTGAATGCCGTAGCCATTGTAATAGCCATAAGGTCCATAAGGAGGGTAAGGGTAGTAGTCGTCTTCTGACGGATGATGTCGGTATTTCCCTGATGAACTTCCAGAATGTCTTCTACCTAAAAACAAAGAACTTACAGAGTTGTAGCCAAAGTAAAAAAAACAACCAATCAGCCAATAAAAAAAAATCCCATTATTTGCTATGTTTGCCTTTGTCAATATAGACCATTCATCATTCCCTTCTTTTAGTGCATTTGTCTGTAAGAAAGTTCATATTTTAGAGCAAGACAAAAGACATTTTTGTATGAAAAACATCGTGTAACTTTGATACTTATGATATAAATTATTTCATAATGAACCAGATACAAATTGTATGTAGAATAATTAACTAAATTTAGATTTGAATTGGTTTTTATTTACCAAATTTTACTGGTGATAAGCTCAACATGTCAACATTCAAGCACAAAATTCACACAAATGTTTTGTTTTTATTTCTGTAAGGAAGTTTTAGCTTGTTTTAAATTTTCTCACCATGTTTTTAAAGCACAGTAAAAGATTATGATAAATCATCAACTGCATGCAACTGTATGAGAGAAAATCAATATCTGTACCAATATCTGTACCAATATCTGTACCAATAAACAGTATGGTTGGACTAAATCCTGTAGTAATACTACACTTGCACCAGCTTACTTTTATCACTACCTGAATCAGCTTGCTTGGAACCAGATGGCTTCTGCAATAGAAAATAACAAATATACAATATATATATTTTTTCTAAAAGTTCATCAATATTTGTATCAGTTTTATTGTAAATGCAAAAGTAATAATACTGAAAACATCTCATTTTTATTTTATAGACAGATCTATATGTCTTTTCCAAATAATTACAATATTCTTCTTAAAACTTTTCATAAGAGAACACTTACAAGGGAATAAGTGTTCAAACAACGTGAACCTGTATCATTTATTGAAGAAGACATATCAAATCAATTACAATCAACGGATGTATCGGGTTAATACAATCATATCATCATGAACTGTTTAAATATATGGCCCTGATTATTGTAAGAATCCCCCCCCCCCCCATTTTTACATGAATTTATTAAACAGTGAGAATCGTAACTTACAGGATTATCCTGTGCAGGAATCTTAAGCCAGGCTGGTGCAAAGTCGTGCTTTGGAGCGTTGTGTGTGGCCATCACAGGTTTCTCACCATGATGAGACCAAACAGGCTGTTGTAGGAAAAACAAATTTATATATCATCATGATATTATGTATGAACTACTATGGACAAAGGCCTAAAGTGGGGTGCAGATAAAAGATGGAAATTAAGAAGTGGGTGCATGTGGTGGTCATATTGGTAAGATTTGATTTATTAATTTCAGTATTGATTTAATACAGAAATCAGATGATTCTGTATGTATTTTTCAGAACTATGGACATTTTTGTTTGCTTAAAGAAAGATATCCTTCTTGTTTATATATCCACATGGCTATAAATAGTATAACCAATTTATGGCAGTCAACCACAATGTATCCAAAGACTGGTTTACATTGGCCTATTGTATCATATCGCAATACAGAAGTGAAATTCCGCTGCATCACAAAAATTTTCAAAAGCTTATTTTATATATTTTTAAGTGTTTTAACTTAACAAATTACTACACATTCTAACAGATATGCAGAAAAACGTAAATTACCAGTGGTAGGAATCATGTTGAAATTTCATTATCAACGGTTGGTTAAATTACTGAAAATCTTAAATCTGTGTGATCCGTACCTAACATACATAATAATTATATTGTATATGATTATGATATACGATGGATGAATCAGTTGATTACTTTCTTTCAACATTCTTTTTTACTGTGAGCATTTTTCCCTACGACTATTTATCGGAAGACAAATTACAATGCCTTTTTGGTGTTTCAATATGTATATTGGGGCACACTTCGGGCGTATCATGACACACATCATAATGTGTTCATCCCACATAACTTCTACAGCTGTTTATAAAAGTTCTGATAAGGTGGATGCAACAATAATAACGTACCATAATTATTGAGTGTGGTAGACGACGCAATATCCCAGTAAATATGTATTAATCAGAGACATTGCCCTTTTTTAAACATTTGATTGCAAGACTATTTAATTTGTTCAGTTGCTGCATTAATTACCCAATCTAAATATCTTTTAAAACTGAAATCTTTGACAAAGCCTCAAACATTATTTTACTATTTAATAATTATTTCATTAATCAACTCCCATAATCGTAAATTATATTAATTGCAATGATCTTAAGATGAAAAAGACATCTTCATTTATCAAGAAATGATGACAAATAATACCATGTACATGTAATAATTATTTTAATTTAATCTGCATTAGTATGTACCATATGGCATCTTGTACTTAAAAGCTAAAAATGGCTTGGCTGTGCTTTATTTGACACTTTTAATTGTCATTTTAATTAAAATATTTTTATTTATTTACCGGTATCTGATGAAAAATACTTTATAACATAAATAAATTTCTTATGATCAACTGATTTAAATGTAATAATAAAGAGGTGACTAGAACTGTAAAACATCAAGTACAGGAGAATGTTTGGTTGCAATAGACTAATCATATACACAATGAAAAATAAATTGGATAGTTGATTGTTCAAACTGAACTTTATATACTGATGAAACAAAGTTGGGGGTTTATATTTTATACATTTTGGTCTGAAACTTTGCCCCTTAAACTTTCCCTACAAAATTTAAGATGTTCTTTCCGAATAGCAAATTCACTGGTATTTCTCATTTTTTCCCCCTAGAATAATGAATACAAGTGTCATGAACATACTTAATATGTAGCTAGTTCATCATCCCAATCAAGCAATTTTTGAGTTTTATAATGAATTCACTGTCCATGTGCACCTTGTATTTAAATAAACACAGCAAAAAAAGTGATGAAGTGAAAAATTAATAATAATAAATTACATGGGTAATAAAAGTGGTTCAGATTTTTTTTCTTTTTAAATCTTTAAACAGGTTCTCTACAGAAAGTTTCAAACTGAAAAATATGAAAAATTCCAATATTCGAATTGCTTACTAATTATGTGCATGCTGATTTGATGTGTGTACTGTACAGTAGTATTTCAAGGACAAGGCAACTTAAAATACCATCGACTATGTAGAAGCTGTATTCTGATAAACAGCTTCATGTAAGTATGGGTCATGATGAATTAAACACTTGACATTTTAGGTATAAACATACAAATAAGAACATACACCATCAAAACTAGCTGCAAATTTGTATAAGTAATACTTCTTTTTACAACACAAAAGCTTTGATAATATATTTTATTCTAGTCTCAGTGAAAATATTCTGCAACAAATACTAATAAGACATTCAAGTTAATAAAGATTAAACTATAAAGCTTTGTGTACATTTTATACAGTAAAGCCCATTTTTACATTTCAACAATTTGTTAGATAAAGTTTAGCATGTTTCAAGATTAAGGAGCTTATATAAAAAATATATTTAGTAATTCATTGATGGTCAAGAGTTGATCATAAGAAGTTACACTGGAATAAAAATGTGATACAACACAAGATCTATTGCAAACAAAACAAGTTTAACCTTGATTGGACAGGCCTACATTATATTACTGTTTGTTTCCTTTTTACCAACTCAAATCATCAAGTTATGGGTAGGTAATTAAGGAAACTATTTTAATTTTGGAATTTATAGTGAATTAAAATTTAAACAGAATATATAGCACCAATACAAATATGATTCTTTTGCAGGGTTTTTAAATAAATATTTTATTTTCGGGAAGTAAGGACAAACTAAAAAGGTTGGCACTTCCTTGGAAACAATAGTCGGAAGAGATGGGGAAGATCTCAACACCAGATTTTTTTTATTATTATTTCAATTGAAAGGTTTTCAACTTGCACTGTGAGCTTTCAATTATTAATAATACATTTAAAGAGCAATACAGTATTTTAATAACTCACCAGTATTTACTTCCACAAGTTCCCTGCAAGTAATTCCCGTCTATGGTAGATATCCTATGGCGTGTTATAGAAGTCTGTTGTGCTCTGAGGAAAGTTTAAAGGGTCCTCTGGCAGTGGAAGGTACAGTTGACTAATGAAGATTTTATTACACGTAGGATCACGGTTTGGATTTTTATTGCAAAGTAGGATGATTATTATTGTCTCTTTCAGAGCAATAAGGCACTTTTGCAACTTTTATAAAAAGCTGCACTATATTCACATATCTCTAAATAAATTCTATTTTATTTACATATTATATCCTTGTCAGGGATATTCTACAACATTTCTGTCTTTACAGTGGCAGTATTCATCAACTGACACTTAATATATACAAAAAAAGTTTTACAACCTTTTCTAATGCAATGATGACTGCATGATGATTTTGCTTGGTCCAGAAGAAAATGAAAAGTGAAAGAATTTGAGATTACCGCATGTCAGTGTTCATATAAAGCATTCTCGCAAAGACCCATTTTTCCATTGAAGTCAAACATTGACTACAGGGTCAGTCTTTGATAAGAATATCCATTCATGGGCAGAACATTGATGTTGAGTATCAACCCTGTACATTCCAGTAACACTAAACTGGGGATGTAAACAGTGTAATGACACAAGATGATGTCTCCCTTTCCTTCTTGCTAGTTCATGATGTCATTTTGTCAAGACGCTCACAATAGATGTTGATATATAAGAAAAAAAACATTAATGTGTAAAGTGTATTTTGTCAAGTCATCTGTTTCGTTTGGTACCAGTCCACACCAAGGTGCAGTGTGTCTGGTCGGCGTGTTGATTTCAGCTCTGAAATAGCCCGTCCTTGCCCTTGCTTGGCCTTGAATTCAGTTTCCTCTGGTGACAATCACATTTTACTCTTAAATATTAACACCATACATAGTAAATGTTACTTCTTCATGTACTGAAATTATCAAAAACGATATTCAACACACCAACGTCATCTGAAATTGGATTGAGCATGTACTCGTTTCACAAATTGCTGAACGTGCTGCATGGAGGTCCGGAATCGTCGTTGTTTTCATAAGACTGAGGTGGAATTTAAGGTGTATATCTCGTCAAATATAGATCAATTTGCGATAAATCATTCTTCGAAGTACTTACTTCCTCAAGCTGGCGGGTTGTCAGATTCCCAAAATGTGTACTTTTTCGATATTTCGAAGTTTTATTGACATACTTTCTTCTGTTCTACTTTCAGAAGCAACAAATATGGCGCACCTTCCCAGAATGCCTTGCGGTACTCTCCAGTCGACCGATATATTTTTGTTTATAAAGACGAAAGCGTTTTTAATACAAGATCATATTTAGCGTATTATCTGTTTACTTATATTCATAAAATGCCATTTATATTTCAAGAATCAGTTTTATGAATTAAGCCTTCACATGTCAATTACAGGTAGCTCAATTAACTGTGGTGTCCAAAAGGTGGCGCCACCGTCAAATTGCAATCAATCATGTTCCGAACGAAGGGACGACGGTCGGCCTTATTTTAAAGCTATATTTCGATGTTGGCTACATATTTTAATACCTACATCACTTTTGTGCGGATTTATTATGACGATGAAGCAATATAATGTAGTAATGCATAAATTACGTATGTCGACTTAAGGAAGCTTGTGTGCCAAACCAAAGGGAGATAAACAAGAAAACTACAAAATGCATGTAGACTAGATGCGAAACACTATGATTTCAAACATACCAACGTTTATTTATTTATTTCATTCATTTTCATGCGATTACTTTTAGTTAAACAAGTATATATATATGTATAAATTACACATATACTAAAAATCTCCAAACAATTAAGTTACGTGAAGTTTTAAACACGGGTCACGAGGCTGAAATGACGTGCACCACGGTGAGTAAAAGTGGAAAACAGTCTTTATTATTTTAATATTATGCATCCGCTGATCTGGACCGTGCAATTTTGGCATACTGTTGGCAAACTTGATGGACCTGATTTTAAGAAGTCACTTACGTCTGACCTTCCTGTTCAAGGTGTAGGAGGGGTTGGTACCGGCTATACGTATAGCCCTATTTAAAACCAGTGAGAATTAAACGCAAAGTGACAGCAAGGCATTTTGACAGCTTTATCTCAACAAACGTCGTTGAAAATAGTGTTACAAACAATAGCCGCTGTTTTCAAACTATTGCTGCGAAAACAGAAACACTCAGGAAATCTTTTTTCCCCAGGACTATAATAGACTGGAACCATCTTCAGGACGAACAAGTCCTTGTGAAATCTGTGGAGATCTTCAAATCTTGTCTCCACTCGGACTAAAAACCTCTATGCGCTCTTCCCCTCCGTTGATTATATGCCAGAAGTGGTCTTTCAACGTACATATACAGATACAGACAGACTGAAGTTATTAACATGATTGACCCTTTTGACCTATAGACTATTATTCATGGAAATATAATAGTACACAATGTGTACTAAAAACTACTTCACCATAGCACGGTCTTAGCTATCTATAATCTAATTCTGTGACCCTAGCTAGGTACCTGTTGTCAAAATATCACGAATCTTTCTGGCTTTCCAACACTTCACAAGAAAATTACCTTTGTTGAACTTTGATCCAGGCCAGCTCTCAGAATTAACCTTTGACATGAAAAAAACATATTAAAAATAAAATTGCATGGGTGTTCTTCATGATATACCAAAGATAGCATCCCGAGTTAAGACCCCACGACCATTTTTTTACCCAATACCATTACCCCAACCAGAGACAAATAAAGCCAGTAGTTTCAACTCAAAAAGCTAATTCATTTATTTTTTATAAGAGACTTTACAACCCTGTTTTTGGTGTTGTTTACAACAGAGGCATCTGTAGGTTGATTGTAGGTTTTAGTTAATCTGAATTCAAGCTAATGCTACAACAGTCGAATGTGTATGACCTTTTATTCAATCAGGGAATAGTGGTTAAATCTATCAGGCCAATTTTTGAAAAAAAACCTGACAGCTTGATATCCAAAATGAACGCCAAACACAAGTCTGTATTTCTGGATTCCGATGTCCAAACCACAATTCAATCAACGATCTGTATGATATGTGGTTGTCATAGTTGGCAGACTAAACATCATTCTAATAATCGGATCCGTCTCTGCAAACAATATGATTCTTTCTGCTCACACGTACGAGGCTTGCATGGTAAAAAAAACCCACCACAAAACCTACGAAATACTAGCTCCTGTATCTTTCTGGATACAAAACAAAACAGACATGTCTCCTTTCTTTAATTCTTTATTTGTTTAACGAGGATTACGAACAGCCCAAGGGCTACCCTCACATTTTACAAACAAGTGAACGGTTCAACATTTACATCATTAACATACAGTACAAAATACAGGAAATGCATGAACATTTACACTGGTCATTGGCACCACTTCATGACACATTTTATGCACACACACAAACACACACAGACAAACACACAGAAAACAAGAAGAATGGAGAGAAAGAGGGAAAAAGGGGGGGGGGGGGGAGAAAGAGAGGGGAGAGAAAGAGAGGTGTGGGTGTGTTTATTTGATTATATGACTTCCTTCGATATAATAATTCAAAGACAGAATGAAAATGTTGGGTATTAGTCTGTTGGAGTAGAGTACAGAACTGATCAGGAATTAAATCAAGCACAGTGTCTTGATTTACGTTTGGTGAAGGGTATGATATTATGGTATTTCGGACAGTAAAGAAGGAAATGCTTTTCGTCTTCAATCAAATTCAAACAGTTGTCAAAGTATATGTGTTTTAAGAGCACTTAGTCCCATTCTAACACGTGCGTGGTTTCTTTTATGTTTGCCATGACCATATATAAAGATTGGATTTCGCTTAGTATCTGAAGGTTTAAGAGAATTTCTAAATATAGTTGTAAGCTTTCGGATGTTTAAATTTGTTCTGGTAGGTTATTCCAATCTCTGATTGTCTTAGGAAAAAAGGACCGATAATAAAACGATTTTTTAGTAGCTATTGGATTGTGTTCATATTTCTAATTAACGTTGTTTATTCGGTGGTTTTGAAGTGGACATTAAAGGTATGGAGGACAAATGTTGCGTTTTATTTTGTACATGTGTCCTTGTTGGTACTAATACTGTATACCCCAAAAGCAGGATACCTTACTTTTCCTCTTCGTTCCCGTTGGGACATAAGGCAATAACAATTTGGCGCACTCTACTTGGCAATGAACTGAGCTTGCCCCGTACAATATCCCTTTTTTGATGTTATTGCCCTCCCCCATGCTATTCTCGGTCTGCCTCTTTTTCTCTTGGTAGTGTCCTGTGTAAAGCAACTTTGGGAATAGAACATGCACAAGACATCTCATACGTCAACACTCTAGCAACATCATTCATTCAGGGATTTGGATCAAACTTCACACGATTACAAGGACCATAATATCTCGGACATGTTCGAGTTTCAGGGTTGTTGGATCAAGGTCACCGTTACTATTTTTATAAAAATTCATTGTCAGTGCTCTCGCGGCTTCATTCCTGAAGGGATTTTGATCAAACTTCACACAATTTCAAAGGACAATAATATCTCGGACAAGTTCGAGTTTCAGGGTTGTCAATTATTTTATTTTATATAATTCCTCTATCATAATACTTACATTACAATTTCTTGTATTATTATTACATTAAAATCAGTTACAAGCTTATTGTGTACTTTTCATTTCTCCCAAATTAACCCTAAAGGGTACCATTTTGATAAATCATTACAGTGTGATAGCTAGCGGGGGCCGGTAGGGGACATGTATTACTTTTACAATACTCAGTATGCTTGTTAAAATTGCTTTCATTTTCTTAAACTTACTTAAGGGAAACTGCATTTTTACTTATATGCGACAAGGTATTATCAGCATAATTGTAAAGGCTACTGGTTTTAACAAATTGGAAAATGTCATTAAAAAATACATTAAAAATTAGATGGCCAACAATTGACCCCTGGGGAACCCCTTCCTGAGCATCTCCCAGCCGCTGACACTAGGACCAAGCCTGATCCACTGCTGTCTGTCACTGAGGTAGCTGCTGATCAGTCTCAATGCAGACTCATCCAGCCCATAGGCTCGCAGCTTCTCCAGCAACAGACCATGAGGAAGGCAGTCAAAAGCCTTGGACAAATCTTTGAGTATGGCACCTATATTCTGGTTGATGTCAAAGGACTGACGCCAATCTTTAAGGATTCTCAGCAGAACCGACTGAAAGCTGCCAGGAAAGGATTTAAAAGGCTTTCTAAAGATGAACCTAGTTGGTCATGTAAAATCCTTTCGAAAATCTTAGACACAGTAGAAATTATACTAACAGGACGATAGTTTTCCTTACAGAGAGTATCATTTTTTTTAAAAGATTGGAATAATTTGTGCCTGTTTAAGTTTGACTGGGAATTTACTTTCTGAAGCACACACAAATTAAAAATTCTAGATAAAGGTAAACTTAAGGCTTCAGTGCCAGCTTTTAACGTTTTGGCAGAGATACCGTCAACTCCTGTAATTTGTTGCAATCTAATATGGATATGATAGTTGCCATAACATTTTCATTGATGTTTAGCCCTGTCTGGTGTGCATATTTGTTCACCCTGTCAGTCTTCTCTTGCAAGTGGGTGTTATTGCATGATATATCAAAAAGAACAACTGCAAAGTTAAGGTCTTCTAGGTGACTTAACATTGTCCACTGCATGTCACGTCATTTATCAGATGTTGCTTTCCTTTGGATCAAGACAATTACAACCTAAAAGCGGATCGGTGACATGACGCGGCCTTGTCTAACTCCTCATAAAAGGCTTTCATAAGCGAACAGATCTTCGATGGAATTCCATATGATATTATTTTTTTCCACCGTGTTTCCCTGTGCACACTATCATATACTTTTCTAGAGTCTATGTAACTGATTTGCTTGTTCTTCTCTCATGTTTTCATCTATCATCTCTTTTATTTTGTTCAGCAGCATTAAGCAGAGTTCTTTGCTGGGGACTGATAGCGATGTTATTCCCTCTAGTTGTCGCATATTTGTAGATAAGGCATTTGTTCCAGTCGTCTGGCATGGTTTCATTGTTCCATTATTCCAGAATCAGGATTGATTGACCGGAATATGATTTTCTTTAGGAATTGGAAAGATCTTTTGATCAATCTTGAACGTCCTTTCCTCAAAATTATTTCTTCTATCGGAACATTCGACTATCCACGTTGTTCTCTGCTATACCTCATGAATGCCACAATGAAACGTCTT